CGTTCACTTGACAGGCAACAAGCAGACGATAAATCGATTGAATATTACTAGCCCCTCAAGTGTGGAAGATTAATTTTTTTGGGGAACCGAGCATAAACAAACACGACGAGCATTAAGATCAAATTACGCGATAAGAGACAAGGCGTAGGCGATACATCCGATAGATAGGCCACCGCCCAGAACTCGAGAGTAGTTTGTGTCCAGGAATGCGGTGGCAATGGCCCCCGAAATGCGATCGATGGCGATTTCGGGGATCGGGGAGTGGAAAATATCAACACACGGCGATCGACAAATTGAAAGCTGCCGAGGGGAGGAGGAATAATGTGCGACGTGCGGTGAAAAATGATTTTCCCTAATGATCGCCAGCCGGAGATTGGAGGATGGCAAGATCAAGAGGCCAAATATGAAGGAGAATCCAATGAAAAATAACGAGCAGCCTGAAATATAACTAAACATAAAATCGAAATGGCAAACCGTTAATACAAAAAGGCTGGCGGAGGAGAGCGAACAGGACGAGGATCCGTTTGTCGACACCAGCAACATATGGCCGTGGATATGTGAAAATGCCAGCGATTGAAATCAAACGCCCACTTGGAACTTGAACTCGAGCTAGGCCATGGAAATTCATTGCAATTTGCATAAACCAGGCTTTGGAAGAACGAAGCAGCAAATAAAAAAAAAGACAACCGAAAAAAAAACACACTGACAATTGACAACGGCAACTCCGGCAGCAACAACAACAGTTGCTGCCTGCTCAAGCCTAGCGAAATTGTCAATTCGGCAACATGTTGCTGGTTGCCAGTTGCAAGTTACCAGTTGCATGGTCAAGTGCAGAAACAGGTTGCAACTTCCTCGCTCCAACTGCAATTGCAACTGCAGCTCTGATTCCGACTGTTTTTCTCCTGCTGCTGCTGCTGTTAGATGGCCGAGTGCAGATTGCTGTCGCTGGCTGAGACGCCTGAAATTTGTAGCAGTCAGCGTACCTGGCCCGGGTAATTGTTGGCAACGTGCAACGCCAACGTCCCTGCCTCAGCAACAACTTACGAAAAAAACTACGCCTGATATAAAAACATCTACCATTTTTTCATGCAATGCAGAGCACCAAGTATTTTTATAAGACAAATTTAAAAAAATATAAAATATTTTTAAAAACATTATATCATTTTTCATTTACTCAAAGCAAAATAATTTTTGAGAGCATAATTTTTTAATTTCCTTACGTTCATAACAAATGTCAAAAAGATTTTAATAAAATAAATCAACTAGGGAAAACCATATAAACAATTTTATTATAAGTTACCTCTGAGCCCAAGTTAACAATTTAGTTTTATGTAATCTTCAACTTACGATTCCTTGGCTATCAGGTCTTTTGAATCCTTTCGTTGCATAAAAACATGCCATTTATATGGATAAATTCGAAAACTAGGACTAATCTATTTTCCAAGTGTAACCGCTTGCTCTTTTTGCGGATTGTCGATTGTTTGATAGTCAGAGACTGATGATGACCATCAAAATGATGCATTCGTACACCCATGAGTTTTGACGTGAAATCAAAGTCGTCGCCTCGGCATAAATTTTATGGGAAACCAAGGAGCAGCCTTCGTTCGTCCGAGATTAATGCGCCAGTGAATTGAATGCAGCGATTCGTGCAATTGCTGGCCGGAAGCGATGATCTTGTTAATTTGATAGCCTTGCCTCTGTGATTCCTAACCGGCTATATATCATCATTAGAAATTTTGTGAGTTTTCAACGCATTCGCACACGTACGCTCATAATTGCCGTACACCGCGAGTGTGTGTGTGTGTGTGTGTGTGTGTGCCACGCCCACTTGGCAGTCTGGTGGCCCAGATTTTCCGGCAGCCAGCCCGAGTTACAGTTAGCTCATGTCGATGTCCGCCTCCTTCTTGGCCGCGGTCGTGGACTGGCAATTAACACTCAGCCAGCAACAAATCAATTTTGCGCGCTGTTTCCGCAAAATGTTGCATGTTGCAGTGGCAGGAAGATGCGTACCGAATTGATTTGGCTGCACTCTAAAGCATTCTGATGGCCTGCCCCACACGATCCGAAAGTCAGCACCCACTCCCCGGGAACAGCAATAATTGCTCCAGTTTGGGCCAACAAATTGGCAGTAGGAGAGCTCTTGGCCGGGTTCTGGTTGCCTGGTTTTCTAGTCACTTGGCCAAAAGGAATTTCACCTCAGTCAGACAAACGCCTTGCGCATACGAAATGAGACAGTCGTCGATTGGAGGAGAAGGAGGATGTGAGCTGTTGCTGGCGAGGATCTGGAATCATGGGAGCTCAATGAAGAGGTTTTCCGCTGCCAGTCGCCGGCCATTCCTCTTCCTCAGTTTTTGCTATACACTCGCCAGCCTTTTGCTTTTGTTTTTGGTGGCGTCGTCCATTTCCATGCTCAATTTCCCAATGTTTCCTGTGACCGTCGGACAAGAGAGTCGGTCGAACAACCTTTCCATGGCGACGACAGAAGACCTCGGAATGCGTTGGGGCAAGCCGCGCAAGCTGCAAACAATTGCGATTATCGAACGTTGCAGATACCTCATTGGAGGGGCATCTTGGTTTTTTAAAAGAGGTTCATTCTTAATTTGCAAAAAAATAGAAGCATTTTCAGCACAATATAAACAAAACCAAATTAAACAGATCATGTTTATTTAACTAGAATCCATAACTAGTTTGGGTATCCCTTCATAATATATTTTCAAAATAATTAAGAATTCAATTCAATTTATTTTTACCTGATCCTACCTTATGATCGAAATACATAATAATATTTATAATAAGTTCTCCCAGTATTTATGTTATAATATCTATTAGTTTATAAAAAAAATAAATTGTTTTAAAATTAAATTCTTCACTATATAAGAAAAGCTTTTTCCGTAGAAAGGGAGACTTTAAGCAGTACAAAAAATATAAAACAATATAAAATCACAACGATTATTTTAGGGGGAAAATTAAAATTAGTTAATGGAAACTTTAACATTAAATCCCTTACCTTGTGCTGCTGTAGAGTATTCAAATATTATCGCTTGGAATCCAAACTCAGCCCCCGGGAACTGGGATGGCTGGCTGGGATGGTTTCCCTCCTCGTATTTATGTTTTCGGCCTGGGACTCGCTCTTTTGTGCGCTGTTGTGTGTGAGGCATTGCGATATAAATTGCAGATTTCTAACGCAATTTTCATAGCTGCATCCTCGCCGCGACTTTGACAAAGCCTTTGTTGTTGTTGATGTTGTTGTTCCCAGCAATTGGTTCTGGCTTGTTGCAAATTTTAGACATTTGCACTCGCATTCCCTCAGTATCTCTGAATTTCTCCCCTCTCTTTGGAAATTTTCCATAATTTTTGGTTATGATAATTTTTAGTTGCCGCCGCAGAAGAAACAATTGCCGATTGGCGACGACTATCTGGGATCTAACCTGGTTTCCAGGCACCTTTGTTGATGAGGGGGTATTGGTTTTGGGTCGCTTTGAAGGCGTTTCAAATGCCCCTCAAATAATAGATCGTTAAAGCTTGCTCAACGTCTATTTGGTATTATGAAGAAATTAAGCAGGTTAACTGATTGAAGAAGAGTATCGGTGGATTTTATATTTTAATATTTTTAAGGATTTCTAAAAGAAAAAAGATTAAATGTAGTAAAAAATCTTATAATAATATGAGTAATAAATCTTTTACAATAGTCAAAGATTAAGAAACTGAGAAGTGCCTTAAGACCCATTACAATTATTTTTGTGCTGTTATTTTTATCTAACATATCACCGGATTTAGTATCTTGCATATCAGATTATTTAATACCTCTACAAGACAAACAAATTAATGCCCACTCATGTCCATCTCAATTAGCATATCGCTGCCATCAAATCCTTTTTCCCCACGCCAATCCATCTTGCACAAATGCAGCAACGGGCCAGGTTAACATCTGTTGGCCATATCTTCTGCTTTTTATGGCAGAACACCTCCTAACTGCGCACTTAAGCGGGAGTTACGACATTGGATCCCCGTGCCTGCCTTGCATAACATTTCCTTCATCAGACGCTCGGCGGGTTATTGAAAACAAGGCGCACGCCCACGTTAATATTAATTGGCCAAAAGACACTCGAGGAAGGGGATGACGAGGGGAGTGAGGGACAGGCGACAAGACAGAATGACAAAATGCAACTACAAATAATACACAATGTTCAATAATCGTCGATTGTCATTGGCATTGTTTTGGTTGTCTCTCTGGTTGCCTTTATGACTGCGGCGGGTGGCTTTGTAACTGTCTGCTGGCCCAAAGCTCGTGCCTCGCAAGCCAAGTCAACCCACCGGCAGCCAGCAAAATGTATTTCTTTTGACGGCGTCTGACAGCCACTGTCATTTTATTAAATATGGTTTTTCTTGATTTGCCAGCTCCACCGCCGCACCACCCACCCACCACCCAGCCGTCGCCTTTTATCAGTGTTCAAAATCCCGTTGTCGTTGTCAGCGCCAACAAGTTATGCGGTGCGGCGGTCGATTAACGGACATCGGCGTGGGTTCGGTGGTTTGGTGGTGGCTTGGTGGCTCGGTGGAGGAGCACCACCGGTAGCCACCGCAACAGGTGTTTCGCCTCCTTGTGGGTTGTGTCACGTAGCGCTGCCTGTCAGGAGCAGCTTGTAATTGAGGTGGCAGGCCTAACCCGGTGGTGAAGCGGGTGGTGCAGTATTGCAGCCTTTTGGTATTGGTATTCCAGTGCAGCACATGGCGATTATAGCGAATCGTCCCTCGGGCTGAAGCGATGTGAGCCATCCATCGGAATGTTAATGCGAAAATCCCGCTGCCAGAATCGAGCAGGTGTTTGTTTACTGCACCAGACTCGACGGAGCGAATTATGAACTATTATGGCTCGTTAGTTCCGTATGAAAGGCGATTAAGCCTAATGATAATAATATTGATAATTAACCGTAGAGCAAAATGTACTCTCTTAATTTGCCATAACCAGCGCTGCAAAAAAAAAAACCCGCAATTAATCAGGGGAAGTCGTTTGAATGCCTCGTTGAGTAAGGTAACCCCACGCGAGACTTTCAATCAAAGCCCAATCGCCTGTTTATTTGCCTCCTTTTAGCATCTCGACATCGCACATTCAATAGACTTTGGCTGGCGAGGCACCCAATCAGTGCTAAACACATTGGCATTTCGCTAAATGAGTGTGGGTACATAACTCAGGGCCCAACAATGCCGCTTTCAGGCCCATCCGACTGCCAAGGCGGTTGCACTAATTGCGCTAATAATGGGGATTACCTCAGAGAGCAGTCTGGTGCCGCTTGAAAACGCAGCGAAAGGTAAGCAAAACCAAGCTAAAGTTTTTCAAACCTAAGTAACAAATACACTCGGAGAAACCTTATGCATAGATTGGTGACAAAATAGGTCTCTGAAAAAGGGACTCTTCACATAAATATTTATTTCAAATTTTCAAGAAATTATAATTTGGGCAAACCAAATAAAACCCGTTTCTCCGTTTAGCTTAGGTCAATTACGAAATTCTTCTTAAAATTTTTAATTTTTTTTGTAGATAATATTGAATCTTCAATCTTCAGATTTTGATAAGACCTTAAACTTAAAACTTTACATCGAACCGTAAAGATGGCTAGAACTAGTGTTTAAATCAGAGCTTAAATAAATAATTGTTCAAAATTTGTCCAAAATTTAAATGTATAAAATTAGTTTCACCAAACAATTAACAATACTTCAAAATATTTTATTATCAGTTAATTTTTATACGATAAAGTAATACTCTCACATGGACGATTTCTTAACGCTACACTTAAACAATTTATGTTTAAAGAAATACAATATTTCAATGAAGTAACTACAACAAAAACTGTATTATTATTCAAATTATTTAGTACAATCATATCCAAATAAAACTCCTATTAAGCCTCAGCTTGTATTAAATTTAATTTATTTCGCAACTGAGGATTTTTCTCTGTGCAACTAAGTAAAGCAATGCAAAGTAAAAGCAAAGTAAAGTCGACGACGCCAACGCACTAATGGGCGCTTTGTGGTGCCAACTGCTCATGTGCTCATGTAGGGGTTTTTGCCCGTGGATGCAGTGCACCCACCTCCCCTCGGCATCCATGGGAATGTGGCCGGGCTCCTTTGCATGCGACGGGCGTTTATTGTAATTTCATTAAACGAAAAATAAACGCAAAAATAGCTAAATTGACTGCGACCAGTCTCGGTTGCAGACGCGAGACCCCCTTTTCCAGTGGCGCAATTAGAGCTAAAAATTATGGCACTCGACCGGTTGGCCACTTTAAATAGGTTGCAATTTATGAGAGCGGCACACAATCGTGGGCGAGACAGCCCCGTGAAAACGGGTGGGTCGCCGGGTGGCAGTGGCGCGGTATTGTTGTTGCCACTGCCACTCGTCATGGCAGAGTGAAAGTGGCATGTCGAATCCTTAATTCGCTCTCGATTGTTGCGGTCAGAGCATCGGCAAGCGTTTGCACAATTTATCATCTCGGGCCGCTCATCAAATTAAAGTGCAATTTAAATTCAATTAGCAATTTGCGTGTGCAGCTCGTTTTGGCAGCTCGGTCATGTCGGAAAACCGTCAACGTGACAGGTAAGCAGCCTTCTCTTCACTTTTCTCCGCCAGTGACAAACACACGTGGTGCATTCATCTGCTCAGACCGCCCTTCCTTGTAATGGAAAAGTTGCATGCAAATTGCTCAAAACCGCAACGAATTCATTAAAACAATTAGCCGAGCGGCAGAAGGAGCAACAGCTGGCCAATGATGAAGTTTCCGAACTGCCTGTCAACTTTTCGACTAAACTTCAATTAATTTGGTTTCAGGGAGCACACACTGTCTCCGAAGAAGGGTTGGGTTAACCGAAGTAATGTGAGTGCAAATATGATTGGTTGGGAAACCGAAAGGGGAGTCGCCAATTGCGTTCAATTATGTGTTTAACTAAACTCCTTTCGGGCGAAAGCTAGTCACGAAAATGGAATTATTTCATGCATAATGGGGTGAGCATTTCGATTCACATGACATGAGCTTACAGAAATAATTGCTTTAAACAGGGCATAATTATTTATGTTTAAATTGAAATATTTAATAGATTAGTTGCTTGACAATAAAACAATTATTTTATGAGCTTAGACTTGTAGCTATTTTACTCGCTTAACACGATTACTTTCAGAATAATCAAGTGAAAAGTTACCCAACCATGCTTAACTTTTTCAATCAGTATTATCTCACAAGCTTTGCAGTAATTTTGGCCACCACTATAAAAATGCCATTTCAGTTAAAAACCCGCTTTTTAAGTAACAAGCTGGTATAAAATTCTTTAATTATACAAATTAGAACCCCCACCCCCTATAAATATTATTTTAGTGCAATGTCCTCCAATTTAAAGCTATCTTATCTCTCCGAAAATCTCTTTCTCGATCGTGTCCCCGTCTAAGTGGCTTTGTGGATCTTCGCCATTATCGTAAAAGTAACGCTCGACATTCCCGATTTTAAAGTCAAGTCCCAAGCTGCAATTGCATTCCAGAGGCTTTAATGATTGCGCATCATCCAAGTCGAACCAGAGATAAGCGAGACTTTTATTGTTTGATTAGACCGCAAATCGAAATCCGCATCAAGTGCCTGGCCGCCAATAAATGTTAGCTTCGCTAGTTTATGCGTCCATAAAAGATTCGCGACGGGTCCTCAGCGCGGGATTATCCCAGGCACTTGGTCCGATCAAGTGATCCGGTGTTCTGGCGATGACTTAATGACTGACCAGGCCAAGTAATCGTGCCTGGCAGTCATCAACAAAGTTGGGGGCCATCCGACTGACAGATCGACTCGCCGACTGACGAGCCACGGGAGTTATAAAAATTCTACAATTAAAAGCGAAAGACGAGCAGCAACGGTAACAAAAAAGCCAGCCACAGCTGTCAATTATTTCGAGTACTTTTCACCAACGCCTCACGCAGGGCCACTGACAGCCCAGGCATAAGCTGAATCTGAAGCTGGAACTGAAACTGAAGTTGCACCACAAGTCGGGGCAAAAAGCACCGGCTGAAAGCCTCAAAATGCAGTGGCAGTCTGTGCCGGAGCATAAATATCGGCGGGGCCCATCCATACTCGCTCTGGCATACTCGCATGTTGCCCCGAACTGTCAAATTATTTCGATTCATGAATATTAACGCCCCAACAACGTCAGAAGCCGCAAACAAGATGGGCAAAAACACAACGGAAAATTGAGATTGGATTTGGGACCCGAAGCTCGGAATACTCTTTCAAACTATATGAAATCCACAATTTCTTTATATTCAATATAATATTTCACAGGAAGTTTTAAGAAAGGAGCTTCGGTTGAATTTCCTGGTATCTACAAAAAAGTAATTATTCCAAAATTTAAATCGACGCAAAAACATAAAATAAATAATTTAAAAGTAACCTATCATTGTGTTTATAGATCTAAGGTAGTATCGCCTACAGTAGTACCTACAATATAAATCGAATTCTTTTATGCTTAGAATTATCAAAACTTTGAGTTATTTTTTTAGAGAGCTTTAGCTTAATTTTAGTAAGCTTAACTTTTGATAAAAGAACTAATATATATATATATATTTTTTTTTTATATATTTTTCTTGGAAGCAGACATTTGTTTTATAAAATTATATTCAGTGAACAAATGTAAATTGTAGTGATAATCCAAACTATCTTTTGAATTGCATATTAATGGTACATTTTTCATAAATTGTTTCTCAATGGTTGGTTCTTCCCAAGATACTAATGTATAATATATTTTAAATCCAGGATATTTTCGTCTCTGCGCTATAAGTCTCTATATACCATCTGGAAGGGTATTACAAGAGCGGGAGTTGCAGCACGGCTTGGGAATACGATGCGCGGAGTCCAAGGAGTCGTCGACATCCTCGTAATTGACAGCCTCACTTCGGCCCCCTCTCCCTCATTTTTGGCGGGACCTTTTAGTGTGTGTATTTTGTTCTCCTTACCGAATTTATCAATTAATTAAAATTCGTGCATTTTATAAAAATGAATATATATTTATTGATGTCAGCTCAGCATTGGCCGCGGATGCATTCCGCATTTATTCGGTGGTAAATGACATTTTATTGGCGGCCAGTCGCCGCAGTCAATGTCACACAAATTATGCAATTTTTTCGCCACAATTTTAACTCGTTTTTGGTAATGATGGTAATGAATCGCCTCTACCTCTTATATATATTTGATGCCGCATATATATGTATGTATATATATTTCGCCGCACAGTTATTTGGCACAGCATTGCTATATATGGCGGAAGCGGTTATTGAACCTTTGGGGGTTATTATTTCAGGTATCTATAGGAAGTTATGCAATGGTTTGGTCTTGCATGCCGATATTTGTTCTAGGCAAAAATGATTCTAAGGATGCTTACAACTCAATTTGGCTTTTAGAAAGCGATTTACTTTTCTTAGCCACTCAAACCCTTCACTTTTGTCACAATTTCGAAATGAATTTCTTGTGGTTTTTTTTTTTGGGGCCTTTGGAAATGCAGTGCAAGACGCTGACCAAAAATGGTCTTACCTAATTTTCCATGAGTTCATAAATCAATGTCAGAGCCGCTGCATTGATTGTCTTCAATTTGTGCTCGGGTTGCTGACCTCAAAGCTGCCGGCTACGTGCTTTGGCAATTATGTTTGCCACCGGTTCATGTGGCAGCCACATAAAGCACCATGGCAACGATGTCGCCCGCTGGCCAAAACCGAAAACCGTAAACCGAAAATCCTTTGTGCCATCGACTCATTAGCATATTGGGGGATTTGCATTAACACCTTCGCCGGATTATATAATTTCCTAGGCCAGGTCCAAAGGAGCGTGACTCTTTGGCTTTCGCAAACACTTATTGTCCTTGTCCCTAAACCGACACAATCTGGAACTCCTCTCGGCGGATTTGGGTTCGGATTTGGATCCCAGGCCTGCCGCTGAGTTATTACACACCGCCCGACGATGTTGTGCGCGATTTCGTGAGTGCATCTTATAATGCTATTAATTATTTGCATGTTCAGCACCTCGAGGAGCTGGCTGGATGTGGATATGGATGTGGATGCGGATGCGTAGGGAGCCAGGCGAACAAGGTGAATCAGGAGAACCTGCATCCGTTTCGTTGGGCTCCTAAATTTATGCCGGCAACACGAAGAAATTGTAACAACATGGCAATTTATTCCGAGCAGCAACTGCTGCAAGCCTCGATTATTTCTCGTATTTTTTCAGAGTCTCAGTCTCAGTCGCAGTTGCAGTCGCAGTCGCCTGGTTGCGGGAGTAAAAGTGTTTTATTCTATTTTATTTGCCTGCAGGTCCCCGGGCGGGAGTTGCAGGTCCCAGAAGATCTCCTTCTGCCGCTGCATAAAATTTGCAAAGCTATTTCGCTGGCTGACTGTTCCTGGCCAGAAATACATTTCGCACACCTCGCCGGCATTTACATAGATATACGAGTGTGTCATGTCTGGCCATTCTTCCTGTTCGAGGGGTATTACTTCGGGAGCTCACGCTCACACTATGGTCTATACCATATACTGGATAACATGGACGACTCCGGGGAGTGGGTGCAGCATTTACGCTCTCATTGCACTTGCATTGAAAAATCTAACACACATTCACTTCCGGCGCGCCGTTGCCATTTTGAGATAGACAAGAGCTGACAGTCGGATGGCTCTGGGG